CTACAGGGGTTCAAGGAGGGATATCTGTTGCTTGTGCCGAGAGAGAAGAACAGAATCTAAGGAAAGAATCCAAGGATAAGGAGGGTCTAGAAGTGTACGGAATGTTGAACGAAGGAATGGGGTTCAAGGACTACCTACATGGACCAATGGATGCAGAACCAAAGCTACACACGTTTTACGTAGATGTCCCGGTCGACCTTGACCTGGCATGCTTCCAGAACATTTCTAGAACAAGAGAAAACATGCCACGGAGAGATAGATTATTTTCTTCTGCTACGTAGACTAGTTGCTGCAATCGTATTCAAAGGTCAAACCGTGTCCGACTACTGGTGGTCTCGACGCACGATTTTTCCTGACAAGACCCCTCCATCAAGCAACTAATTGAATCGTCAACCGCATCACCATATCCATTTCTACCTCGACCCCTCGGTAGGTATCGTATCGAAAATTAGTTTCTTCTTGTATGACGCGTATGGTAGCAAGCTTAACAGATATTCGATCAACACGAGAAGTCCTTGATCTGCTGAATGATGGAGGCGAATCGGTGCTTTGGTAGGTACTTGGTCGCGGTATCAGCCAACTGGTGCTCTCTGGGCTGGTGGTGGAGAGTCATTTGTCCCCGCAGTACTAGCTCCCGGACGAAAAAGTACCTCAGGACCATGTGCTCGTGCGTTGAGAGTGCATGGCATTCCCGGCCACTGTCAGCGCTCCAGTGCTGTCGCTGTTGATGGGAACCGATCAGAAGGTCTTGAAGTTGAGTTCCGTCATAAAAGTCGAGATATAGACCGCCTCTCTGGCTGAGTAACTAAGTGCTTGAATCTCGGCTTCGACCGTGCTTTGCGCGGTTAGAGTTTGAGTCTTCGCACCGTAGCTGATGAGTCCTCCAGCGAGGAAGAAGAGATATCCCGTGGTAGATCTTCCGTAGTCGGGGTTTGCTCCGAAGGATGCATCCGTAAACGCCGCTAGCCGAAACTGTCCTCTCCTTTAGACGATAGGAAGAACTTGATTACCCCGAAGGTATCGCAGAACGTGCTTGGCTGCTGTCATGTTCACTTGCGCTGGGTCGCTGCAGGTCTTGGACAGTTGTAGGGCCGCGTAAGAGAGGTCCGATCGCGTGCACTGGGCCAGGTAGAGGATGCTTCCCGTCATCGACTGGTAGATTTTCTTGTCCGTGGGTCCTAGGATTGGTCCTGAGGTTGATTCGTGGAANTGTTGATGGGAACCGATCAGAAGGTCTTGAAGTTGAGTTCCGTCATAAAAGTCGAGATATAGACCGCCTCTCTGGCTGAGTAACTAAGTGCTTGAATCTCGGCTTCGACCGTGCTTTGCGCGGTTAGAGTTTGAGTCTTCGCACCGTAGCTGATGAGTCCTCCAGCGAGGAAGAAGAGATATCCCGTGGTAGATCTTCCGTAGTCGGGGTTTGCTCCGAAGGATGCATCCGTAAACGCCGCTAGCCGAAACTGTCCTCTCCTTTAGNTTGAATCTCGGCTTCGACCGTGCTTTGCGCGGTTAGAGTTTGAGTCTTCGCACCGTAGCTGATGAGTCCTCCAGCGAGGAAGAAGAGATATCCCGTGGTAGATCTTCCGTAGTCGGGGTTTGCTCCGAAGGATGCATCCGTAAACGCCGCTAGCCGAAACTGTCCTCTCCTTTAGACGATAGGAAGAACTTGATTACCCCGAAGGTATCGCAGAACGTGCTTGGCTGCTGTCATGTTCACTTGCGCTGGGTCGCTGCAGGTCTTGGACAGTTGTAGGGCCGCGTAAGAGAGGTCCGATCGCGTGCACTGGGCCAGGTAGAGGATGCTTCCCGTCATCGACTGGTAGATTTTCTTGTCCGTGGGTCCTAGGATTGGTCCTGAGGTTGATTCGTGGAAAATTCCGCTCCGTATCCAGGAGTGCTCACTGGGTTGGCCTCTTGCATTCCGAACCGTTCCAGAAATGTGTTCACGCAGTGCTCCTGTAAAATGGCCAGGGTTCCTTGCTCGTAGTCCCGCTCTACATCGATCCCGAGGATCCGCTTTACCTCTCCCATGTCGGTCATCTCGAATCGATCCGTGAGCTCCTTCTTCTTCTGGTCCACGAGCTACTGGTCTCCTCCCGTGATGAGAATCNTCCAGGAGTGCTCACTGGGTTGGCCTCTTGCATTCCGAACCGTTCCAGAAATGTGTTCACGCAGTGCTCCTGTAAAATGGCCAGGGTTCCTTGCTCGTAGTCCCGCTCTACATCGATCCCGAGGATCCGCTTTACCTCTCCCATGTCGGTCATCTCGAATCGATCCGTGAGCTCCTTCTTCTTCTGGTCCACGAGCTACTGGTCTCCTCCCGTGATGAGAATCTCGTCTACGTAGACCGTGAGAATCACGATGATGTTGCCGCTGGTATACACGTACATGCAGGGGTCGGATTGAGTCGTTTTCCATCCGAACACCGTGAGAGACTCGTCCAGGGTGTCGTTCCTGAGCGCCGGCGACTGCGATAGGCCGTATAGGCTCCGTTCTAGTTTGTATACCATGAGCCCGCTGTCGCGGAGTGCTTGGCGGATGTACTGGGGGCTAGTCTGACGTACACGGCTCTGTCGCAGCGGGCGTTTAGGAAGGCACCGACAACGTCCAGTTGGTAGATGGGCCAGTTGTTGTGGCAGCCAATGGCGCACGTCATGCGAATGCTCCCGATACGGCATACTGGTGCGTAGCTGCGTCCGTAATCCTGTCCTGCTCTTGACGATGTCCTCCGACCACCAGGCGAGCTTTGAAGCGTCCGTCCAGCTTTTTCTTGAAGACGAATTTCGTTGCGAGGATCTTCTCTCCCTTGGGAACGCTACTGAGGGGCACCAGATTGTAGACGTTGTGTGTCCGCAGATTGTCCATGTCCTTGCTGCACGCTCCTTTCCATTCTCCGCGCTGGGGAGAGCTCATGGCTTCGTCGTAGGTGTTGGGGATTTCGATCGCTTGATTCGTCTCCTCCAAGATCCCGTGGTGGTCGTGAGTGGTCGTGACGTAGGCGTGAGCCCGCGGCAACGTGAAGGGGTCTTCCGCCACGTGGGCGAAATCCTCAGTATCGCCAGGGCATGGGAGCTGGGCTTGATTGGCTATCTCAGCCAGCTGAATGAAGGAAAGACCGGATGGCTCCACGTGGCCCGTTACGGCANCGAATTTCGTTGCGAGGATCTTCTCTCCCTTGGGAACGCTACTGAGGGGCACCAGATTGTAGACGTTGTGTGTCCGCAGATTGTCCATGTCCTTGCTGCACGCTCCTTTCCATTCTCCGCGCTGGGGAGAGCTCATGGCTTCGTCGTAGGTGTTGGGGATTTCGATCGCTTGATTCGTCTCCTCCAAGATCCCGTGGTGGTCGTGAGTGGTCGTGACGTAGGCGTGAGCCCGCGGCAANGTCATGCGAATGCTCCCGATACGGCATACTGGTGCGTAGCTGCGTCCGTAATCCTGTCCTGCTCTTGACGATGTCCTCCGACCACCAGGCGAGCTTTGAAGCGTCCGTCCAGCTTTTTCTTGAAGACGAATTTCGTTGCGAGGATCTTCTCTCCCTTGGGAACGCTACTGAGGGGCACCAGATTGTAGACGTTGTGTGTCCGCAGATTGTCCATGTCCTTGCTGCACGCTCCTTTCCATTCTCCGCGCTGGGGAGAGCTCATGGCTTCGTCGTAGGTGTTGGGGATTTCGATCGCTTGATTCGTCTCCTCCAAGATCCCGTGGTGGTCGTGAGTGGTCGTGACGTAGGCGTGAGCCCGCGGCAACGTGAAGGGGTCTTCCGCCACGTGGGCGAAATCCTCAGTATCGCCAGGGCATGGGAGCTGGGCTTGATTGGCTATCTCAGCCAGCTGAATGAAGGAAAGACCGGATGGCTCCACGTGGCCCGTTACGGCAGGGCTCGACCGCGGTCGTTCATGGTGACTTGCAGATCGGCAGGAACCAAGTTAACGTCGATCTGATCGTCGCTGGTGGGCTTCCCGCGCGTGGTAGCTCTGGTGACTTGCAGGCGCCGCATGCCGAAGGATCCAGTTGATGCAGAAGTGTTCGGTTCAGACGGGTTCGACAATGATGGGCTGGGGCTAGATGCGTGGGTCTCGGATGACGATCCAGCTGGCGTCGATGAGAGATGCAGTGATGGGGCGTCCCCGTCGCTGAGATCTTGCCCGTTTCCATGTTCGTCCTCGTTCCCGTCCAGTTCTAGGCGAAGCTCCTCCCGAGCGAGATTGTCTTTCTGCATCTTCCGAACTTCTTGCCAAAGGAGTTCGTTCTGCGCCGTGAAGTCCAGGTCGCTCGTCGAGTGGGGGCTGTTCAGCAGGGAGGTGAAGCTCAGCACATCGTTCTCGTACCCGTTTGCTTCAGGGGAATGCTGGAATGGCACTGACCGGGGTGGAGATTCGATGAAAGTCACATTCCGGCTGTCGACCACGGCCCCGTTGGATGGATTGCATACCCGGTAGGTCTGGCTGTCGAGGCCGAAACCACAAAGCTTGCCTTCGAAAGCTCTGTCGTCCAGCTTCTTTCGGTATCGCTCGTGGTGTACAAAGGCACGCGCTCCAATGACCCGAAGTCCCGAGAGATCAGGTGACTTAATTGTGCAGCTTCGAGTATGGCGTAGCTCCCCCCAGTGCTGAGTGCGGGGGCCTATTCAACAGGTGTGCTGCAGTCAGCATTTACTTCCCCCACATGGACGGCGGAAAATCTCCATCCTTCAGAAGACACCGGGTGACTCCGGCCAGGGTTTGTCCGTCCCGTTCCGATCCACCAAAATTTTTAGCGGTGTTGGTGGCGGCGTATTCCAGCTTGATAGCTGAATTCTTGCAGTAGTCCTGCAATTCGGATCGGGTGTTCTCGCCTCCCTTGTCGCAGCGGATGGTCTCGATCCGGTAGCCTCCTGCCGCTGCGCCCCACATGTTGTANATTCGGATCCGGTGTTCTCGCCTCCCTTGTCGCAGCGGATGGTCTCGATCCGGTAGCCTCCTGCCGCTGCGACGCACATGTTGTACGTGTGCACCGCCTCGGTCGTGTCAGATTTCTTGCGAAGCTGGTACACTTCTTTCATCTTCGTGTAGTCGTCGGTGATTGCACGCGTACAGGAATGAGCCTCCTAAATATTTCGCAGGTGGATTAACAGGCCCCATGTTGTCGATGACCATTAGCTGTCCAGGCCGTGATAGTTCGCGAGTCGATTGCTTCGGGTGGGGGGACTGCTTGTGTTTCGCGATCTGGCAGACCCCGCAAGGGGAGAGACTGTCGCGATAGTCCACCCCGGTACCCGTGTCCTTCCGAAGGATGTCCAGGCTCCGAGCATTGAGATGTCCAAGCCTCCTGTGCCAGGTGTCCGCGCTCACTAGCGTAAAGCAGACGGCGTTCGCCGTGTGGGTCTGTGACTGCTTCTGGTGGGGCACGAGGGATTTCGTGCCAGATGGCTGGACGTTCTGCTCGAACGTGATGTCGAGGGTGCACATGCCTTGGTCTCGCGGATAANCCGAAGGATGTCCAGGCTCCGAGCATTGAGATGTCCAAGCCTCCTGTGCCAGATGTCCGCGCTCACTAGCTAAAGCAGATGGCGTTCGCCGTGTGGGTCTGTGACTACTTCTGGTGGGGCACGAGGGATTTCATGCCAGATGGCTGGACGTTCTGCTCGAACGTGATGTCGAGGGTGCACATGCCTTGGTCTCGCGGATAATTGTGTGAGTGGAATCACCTTGCCTTGGATAGTGAGGTGCGGAGTGCTCTCTTCGACGACGCAGCGCAATCCCTTCTTCAGGAGGAAGGTGGGCGAAAAAATGTTGCGACCAAGCCCCGGAACGACGAGTCCCTGAATCCGCACGCGCAATTGCTGTCCGCAATTGTCCTTGACGGTGCAGGGTAGGATGCCCGTGGCCTTGCCTGTAAGTTGGCTTTCTCCGACCACGTCGACGACCTTTGGAGAGTTTCGCTGAGTGTAATCGTGAAGGTTTCCGTCGGGCATGAGGCGATTGTCAAACATGGTCGCCGATGCTCCCGTGTCTACCAGCAGTCCTACCCCGGTGGAGCTCGCGGCGAAGTTGCGTCCTGAGATGCGGGAACACGTGGCGAACATGAAGCCGCTGTCGAAGGCGTCCTCGTCCCGGGTGAAGTCGACAACTGTCACTTCATTGTTTGAGTCGTGCTTGTTGCAGGTCGACGAGCAGTGAGTGCAGTCGGAGCACGGGGTGAATGCTTTACTTGAGTCCTTGGTGTCTTCCGGGCACTTTCCTCCTTGTGNTTGCTGGTAGCATTCCTCGTCCGAGTGAGACGTGGTGTTGTGCTTGGAGCACCACTTGGTAGCTCCGGCGGGCTTCGTTTTCTTCTTCGCCCTGTTCTTGATCTTGGGGCAGTTCCTCCTGATGTGCCCCGGCTCGTAGCAGCTGTGGCAGATGATGTCAGACGCGGTCGTTGCCATGGCAAATCCTCGACCAGCTATGCGTCCCTTCCATCCCTTGCGCGATTGTTCGTCCAAATAGATGTTGCGCATGGTGGACTGCATGTCCAGGACGTTGAAGGTTGGGTCCCTGAACAGCATCAGTTTGACGTCTTCATATTCGTCGGAGAAGCCCTGTACGCAGATGTCCTTGAAGCGGCGGTCGGAGATGGGTTCTCCCATCTTATCCAGCTGGACGCAAAGTGGGTGCTTCTGGTTGAAGTAGTCGTCTGGATTTTCACCAGGGTTCATGGGGTTGTTCTCCAGCTCCTCCATCTTGACCCTAATGACCTCGTCCGTTACCCTGTTATAGTTGTTGCGGAGCTCCTCGAAGGCAGCTTGTCCGTCGCCGCTGATGCCAGTGTCGTCTTCGTGCTTCTGTATCGACAAGGCGGCTGGAAGTTCCACTAGGAGGAAAAGAATGGCGTAGAGATCTTCGTTTGCCCTTGTGTAGGAGTCGAAGGCCCCTGTGTCTGCGCGATCTGGCTTCCTTTGTTTCTTCAGTAGTGGACAGGATGTCCTTCCTGGTCACGCCTAACACCACGCAGAATTTCTTCATCCATGTCTTGAACTCAGCTGGGTCCTTTCCGTCGAATTTCTTGAGGCCTTTGATCACGGTTGCCAGGTTTGTAGAACTATCGCTGGCGAACGCGCTTCCACCTCCTGTGTTGCTCCTTGCGGTATCCATTGCTCATTCCAGCTTTATTTTCTTCGTCTCGATAAAAGTACTTCCTGCTGCAGGAGTAGTTTGCTCGTGATACTACTGCCTGTACCCGAGACTTCCCCTCCCCGGTCCTGCTACTGATCTAGAGGACTCCGATTGTGGTTTTCTTGTTTCCGATCCCGCTCCTGCTACTGATATAGAGGACTCCGGTTGCTGATCGCTTCCACTGATGATACAGTGTAGTTCCTTACACACCCGTCCTTATACACCCGATGCGTATGCCGCTCGAGACTCCTGCGCAAGTGACCCTTGCTCCTAGTTCCCACTGCTGCCGCAGCGGTGGTAACATGTGTATACGACGTGAATTCTGAGCACCTTGGTGTAGATGACCAAGTTTGCGCGTTTGCTTGTGATGCCGTTGACCGATGACGGCGTCACAATGTTTGGGGTGTCGGCGCGTGTACTATGTTATCACGCTCGCGGGCTCTTGTCGAGAGCGTGTTGCACAAAGGAGTGACTCAAGTTCCTTGATTAACTTTTAACGAGTGAGAGACATGGGCAGGCAAGCAGAGCCTTCGCGTCAAGTCCATCACACCCATCATGTACAATATCTATCTGCGTAGCCCCCGGAGATCTCGGAGATTCGTATCCTGCCGAGTACACACACAAACAGCCCCCCTACTCGGTACGAGACACGATTACGAGATCCTCCGTACATNTCTCGCACAAAACTGTGTTTCAACTCATTGACCAATTTAAAATAAGCTTCGGAAGCACACAGGCCTCAACCATGTCTTCCCAAAATATGCCAAATCCTTGCTCCAGTACATCGTTCAGAACCACCATCAATACCAAATACATACGGCAAAAACAGACAAAGGTTAAAAACCCGGCGGTCGAAGACGCCAGAGGAAACTTTCACCAATTATGCCGTTTCTCAAACATCAAGACATGGATTTCTTAACAGCCCTCCTGCTGCAGTATCTCCCAAAACATAAAAGCTTAACAGCCCCCCTGCTGCATCATCTCCCAAAACACAAAAGCTTAACAGCCCCCCTGCTG